AGAATCCAGATACCTAATTACCTACCTCCCCTACCTACCTAGATACACATAAACATATCCTTCACATTTACATTTACACTTACATTCCATCCCATCTCAATCCATATCTCAATCCAACTTTCCACAATACAATACCGCGTAGAATATATTATCTACATACCATCTATACACTCCATAAACTCCATATACTCCACAATTTCCTCATCTCATACCACCCCTCCCTCACCCCTTTCCATCTACATTTAAAAACCACTCGACTGTATAACTTCTATCAAACTCTTAACCTCCCGCAACAAACTTCCAACAAACCCTTTTCAAACTCATAGCTAACTCAAAATTCTATCAAAATTTCACAAGCTCCCAAGCTCAAAGATTTCCTTCCAGTACTCTTGGGTAATTTCTCAAGATTTCTCAAAATAAGGATGAGATAAAATTACTCATTACGTAGTTATAATCAAGATCGTTATTAAATTCACAAAATCAAGTAATCACACACACCCCAGGACTTTCAGAAGTTAAATCGATAACTCAACTCTATAGTATAGTCTACAATACAGTCTACAATACAAACCATAAAATACACTCTAACATACACTACAACCAAAGACTCTTAATTCTTTTATATAAAATCTTCATAATAGTCTACTATAAGATTTAAATCACGACATCAAAACTACAACAATTAAACTAACCATCTAAAAATTACATATTATACTCCTATTTAGTTATACTATTCATATTATACTTACTATTCATACTATTCACATTATTTATACTATTCATTAGCATCTAGATAACAATCTACTATAATTCTTTTATATAAAATCTTCAATAAGAATCAACTATCTACAAGAATTAAATCACTCCATCAAAACTACAACAATTAGACTAACCATCTAAAAATTACATATTATACCCCTATTCATACTATCCACACTATACTCACCATCCACACCATCCATCGACATCAATATAACAATCTACCACAGGATTTAATATCACTAATCGAAATGACAACAATTAGACTAACTACTAAGAGTTGTATACTACGCCCTCTATCCATATTATTGCATGCCATCCATCCGCATCTAACAATCTACCGCAATTCATCTAATTGACGAATATCCATCATCGATCCTGCCATCCATCATATCTACACATCATTGATTTTCATTTCAATCCACTTTATCACCTTCGACCTTCAAGATCCGTACTTTCATATTTTATGACTCAACGCCACGCCACGCCACGCCACGGCTAGCATACCCACCCATCCATCCATCCATCCAGCCATCCATGCACCATAGAAAATCCAGCGCCCAAGATTTACATACCCATTTTCACCACTATGATATAAAATAAACAGGTTGATATGAAAAAGTTTTTCCAAAGGATTGTCTAACTGGCCAATTCACTACATCAAGCCTCTCCTCCCATTCTACATCACTTTCCCTCCCCTCCCAAAGATTTACTCCCTATCAAGTGCATCCAACTCTGCTTGAACAGCCCCTTTAGTAGCAATCTTTTTCACTTGCGTATCTTCCAACTTCTCACCACCAGCTCTCCTCATTTCCAAATCCTCAATTGCTCTAATCTTCTTTTGTAATCCTCTCTTCTTTTTAGCAGATGGGCTACCATCACCACCTGGGCTTGTAACTGACAATTCCGGAGTTGAGAATTGTTGAGTTGGAGTAATTGGTTTTTGATTCGAGTTGATCGAAAGATTCTTCATTCCACCTGCATGAATTGGTGTACCTGCGCCTCCATTTGGTGATACACCTCCATTTTGACGTTGGTTTTGATGGGGGTGAGGATGTTGATGAAGGTTGTGAGGGCCACCGTTACCATGAGTTCGAAGCTGAGATGGAGAACGCATGTTGTTGTTGCTCTTAGAACGACTACGTTGACGATCTCTTCGATCTGGGCTACGATCACCACCTGGACCTCTTGGAGCATCTGGAGTTCCAGCACCAAGACCACCTGCTTTAGCCTCTGCCTCCTTTGCTTTCTTTGCTTCACGCTTCTTCTTGTTCTTGAGTGCGGCCTTGGAAAGATTTTCGTCTTCAACAGCACCTGGAACGGCGGGGGCGGCTCCTGGAACAGCGTTCTCGCTTAAATCAGCACCAGGGACTTGTCTACGAGATCGACCAAATCCATTGGTATTGACCATTGATGTACCATTGCTGACGAAATGAGCAGATCCACCTTCATCTTCACGTTTAAAGTGAGATGGGGTAGCTTGACCACGTGCTCCAGGAGGACGATAAGCTCCTGCTGGCTTGGATGGGGTTTTCACCGTACCCAAGTAAGCGACAGCCGATGAATGTGGTTCGGGAACTGGGCTCAAAAAGTCTCCGGCTGGGAAACTTTCGGGACGTTGTGGTCTCCATGTAACGTGGTACAATTCGACCATATCCTCGTTGTACATAATTCCACCAGTAACGTGCCATAATCGAATACCGTTATCAACTCTCAATCTAGGACTGGTAGTAGCTGTCAAGATATACTTGCTATCAGGACTCCACTCGCAAACACTAGGATTTCCACCTTCGATTGTACAGATTTTTCTGTAATCCTTTTCAACATCGTAAATGTCCATCTGACCAGCTAAGTTTCCGAAACCGGCCACCAAAACAAATCGACCAGTAGGAGAGAAAAGAATTGTGTTTCTGGGGCCAAGAGGGAATGTATGAGTAGCAACAGCTCTTTGGTTGAAGATAGTTGTCTTTGCTGGCATGTATCCGTAAATGACACCAAATTCTTTCGAGTTTGGTGACCATGAGACATCGTGAATTGGCCCCTCCTTGTCAAGAGTGATTCTAGAATCGAATCCACCATTTGCGCTCAACACATACAATGTAGTCTCTCCGTAGTAACTTTTGTTCGACTTATCAACATCTGTTTGGGCGAGAACAATCAAAGTTGTACCCAGTTGATTCCACTTCAATTGCACCTTGTCGCCCTTGAAAAATGTTTTTTGTGAAACCGGGGCATTGAATTGAGGAACGTTGAAAACCTTGACGGCAGATGGTTGACCCTATGTGATTTGTTAGCAAACCTCCCTACACAAAATTGCAATAATACATACCTTGCGCTCTGGAACGAAAACAGCTACAGAATAATTATTTCCAGGAGAAACTGCGAAATCCGAAACACCCTCAACACGAAGCTTATTCCAAACTGTACGCAAATCTCCACTCTCGTAGAATTGAACCTCATTTGTAACATTGCGGGCGCAATATTTCTCATCGAAAGTGTATTGAAGGTTCCAACCGGTTTGCGATTTTTGCACAAATCTCCCAACAACTTCCTTCTCAGCTCCCTCCGCGATTTCCTCCACCGTGCGCCAGATCTTCAAGTTCTTGACCGCATCACCATTCTCATCCTTCGAGGGTCTTTCCCAAGTAATGACGTATGAACCGAGAGGAGAGAAGCCCAATTCGTAAACATTGGGTGTGGGAAGGGTAGTGATAGTGCGACCGACGTAGGTATCAATGACATCCACTCCGTCATTAGAAGCCCAAGCAAAGTACCGACCGCATGGCGAATAGGTACAGCAGCGAGAGTTACCTTCGGGTCTCTGGAAACCAGGCAAAGGTTGGTAGACGGGTGCGGCATCCAAGATACCAATCCCCTTCAGTGTTCTGTATGCAATTTGTGTCGGAACTGCCATGGCTAATGAAAGTCACAGTAAAATTCTTTTCGGTAACAAATTGAGTATATTGTAAAGTCTTCTTTGTCGTGCGGAATGTCCTTAGGGATTGGATTCGAGATGGCTTGAATGTCGAGACGAAATCCTTTTGATGGGAAATTGTCTTGATGGAAACGAATCGAATAAGTTCTTCGAAAATCTCGAGATTGATGTTGTTGTTCGTTGTGGGTGGGCGGTGACTGTGCGAGAAATTTGTGGAGAAAAATTTGGTAAGGCTATTTTGTTTAGGTTATTGAGATGATGTCAAAATAGATCAACAAATGATTTTTTAATATGATTTGTCGATTTGAATGTTTCGTCCAGTCGACCGTACGATGAAGAAGAAGATATTGTGAATTGAGTGTATAATTGTCTTGACACTGATGAAGGGATTTTCGGGAGAGTACCGTTGAAATTGAGCGTGTGTAGAGAAGAAGGGGGGGAGGGAAGAAAAGATGGAAGGTGTTATTTTGTACTCTTTGTTTAGTTTGTCGCTTGTGCTAGTATGAGTAAGGCTGAAGATTTGATGTGGATGTATAGATGTGGATGTGGGTATGGCTGGAAGGACAATCACCCTTTACTCTTTATGCTAATTATAGTACAATCAATCAATACTTAATAGACATGTACGGTTGGTCTACAATGTCCAGTTTGAATGATATTCGAGTAGTAGTACCAGATTGATGCCATTCAAATAAGGTTCTCCATACTTCAGCCTTGTATTGTATATATTAACGAGAACCGATCTTTATCAGTCTTTTCCGCTATTAACCACAACCCACCCCTTTATTCATGCTAAACCAACACAACAATCAAAATCATCACATTCACATTCACATCTTCATCTCTATACACTCATCCCTCCATCACGTTACGCATACTACCAACACCACTTGAACTATTCTTTCTCTTCAAAACTTATCACTCAACCCCCATAATCTCACATCGTACAACCCCAGCATTGTAAATTACCGAAATCTAGCGCTTATGATACCAACTGTCTCAGAGACTCCATAAGGCTGATGAACCATCCTATGTTTTGAAACGTCTAGACTGTAGTCCATCTTAAGTTTTCGATTTTGAATTTCGGCAGTCGGAGAATAGTATTATCAATTTCCATAATCCATTCTTTCAGATCAATCCCACTCTTATCCGCGCATTCATTCCGATTCATAGGGCTGAATGATAATTACTATATGCTTATTGGTGGCTGATCATTCACATTATACACAATTGACATACAGATGACCATCTGGTTGTCTTTGCCAATTTCGCGGACTCAAGAAGCATTAAAAAGATTCGAGCTGCAAGTCCTAAAATACTATAAGTTCAAACATTATTCTATTACTTTCTATCGCTGGGTATCATCGGCACACTATCCATACATGATATCACTTTTACAATCATTATCTCATCCCTTATCGATACATCCATCTCGAAGATCATCCACACTCATGGCATCACGCCTTTTCTTCCGTCCCAGTCACAACCTCATCTCCCTTTTCCATGTCTTTCTCACCTGCCTCCATCACTCCTCCATTTTCTGTATCCATCGCCGCTTTCTTTTCCTCCTTTCTCTTCGCCCTAGCAACTCTCTTATCATTTCTCTCCTGTTCTTCCCTCATCTGTTTAATCAACGGACTCTTCGCTCTAATTCTGGATCCCCATTTATAGAAAATGAAAGGAATTGGGATTAGAATGACCTGTACTAGCCCCAGAAGAGTTCCAGCCCATTGCGGGTCAAGCGCGCCATACATCGCCGGTCCAGCCAATGGTAATGTACCTCCAACAATTGATCTGACAACACTATTTCCTGCCAATGCCGATGCCGAATAAATACCGTATGAGCCGGCGAGATAGTTGGTTCCGTAGATGAATACCAAGGTATTTCCTGCTCCAAAGGGGATCCCTGCAAGAATGGGCCAGATCCAATGGATGGTGATGGGAACGCAAGTCCATGAAAACCAGAGTTGACCGATGGGACACAAAACAGCTGCTATACAAATAATGCTGACCGAAGCTTCGGGTGGAACTTTTCCAGTTTCGGGATCTTTCTTATGTGAGTTGATCATTTTGCGAATAAGCGGTTCGGCGATAATTCCGAGCATGGTTCCTGATCCGATTCCTAGGAAAGCGAGACCAGTCTGGCCAAGACTCCATCCACGCATGTCCGTGAAAATAATCGGGTATGCGACGAAACAAAGATAGAGGATACCATAGATGACCTAAACGCCCTGATTAGTATAGATTGTTCCCGTGATATAAGTGAAATAGCTGGACCACTCTTGTATATCAGATGGAGTTATCTATAGCCGGAATGATAATTCGAAAGTCAGAGACTTTCAATGTCTGGATTCAAGCAAGTTGTCTTGACAGTTCGAAAAACCGATCTATCGTGAGTATTGAATTGCTTTCAGACATTGAGAGCCTCCAATGGTGGATCTGCAGTCCGGACTATTGAAAACTTGATATTACAATACCAAAATTGACGAAGCTAAGTTACGAGAAAAACTCACAGCAATGTACGTATTCCAAAACCAAAGAATTGGCTCTGTGAAGCTCAGGACGAATGGTCGAGAAAGATTGATTTTCAAGATCTCATAGACTATAATCAGAAATCAGTGTCTGTCAATGGATAAAAAGTTCACCATCCACTCACAGCTCTTCTTTTGATCGTATCGACACCAATATCGCTCATCGCCCGTTTCCTTGCGCATTTTTGCTGCCTTCTTGATCAAGATGACTGGTGCATAAGTCTCCTTAACAAATCCGCAAGCTATCCAAGCGCATCCGGAAAGTATCATCACAATCCAATTTGTCCATCTCCATCCTAGGTATTCTGCAGCGAACCCACCAATGAGGGGGCCTGTTACTGGACCATTCATTGGCCCAATACTCCAGATACTGAAAACCAATGCACGGTATTGGTCGGTTGTGATATCTGCAACTGTTCCAGGAGAGTTTGATATCATAGCAGCACCTGCAAGCGCACTATATTCCTATTAGCACCAAGGAAAATTGACGACTCGCATTTCAACGTACCCAACAAACCTAACACCCAAGACCTCCCCTAATGAAGTTGATAAAGCACACGGTAAAACCATCAAAGAGAAGAAAGCCAGAGATCCAATATAAACTGGTCTTCTACCCCAAATCTCACTCAATGGTGCAAGAACCAAACTACCAGTCGCCAATCCCAGTAAATATGTGGTCACACCCAACGTCGCTAGTGGTTTACTTGTGACGGAGAATTCTTTCATCATTCCGGGCATACTGGATGTATATGACGAACTATACAACACCGTAGACCATGTTGCAAAACTCACGGCAAAAATTGTATAAGATCGATACCACAAAGGCCAATTTTTCGGATCATCAGGATCATTGTCTTCGAAATCAATTTCGAATGATGGATTTCGTGATCCAGTAGTGGCGAATGATGTACCGGTCCTCGTGTAACTTAATTGAGCATGTGCAAGTTGTTCAGCAGCCGTTTCAAGGTTCGCTGTGAGAGCCTGCTCGAGAGGAGCAAGAGGATCACTATTGATCGAATCGGATGATAAAGATGTGATAGAAGGCGCATGCGAGAGCGGAGGGTAGTGGTTTTCATGATCTGATAGTGATGATGCGAGAGTTACAGAAGCTGTATTGGAGGATTTGAAATCATGGAGATCATCCTTCTCAAGGCCCGTATTGTCCGTCATAGTGAAGTGATTGTCCAGAGACTTTTGAGAAAACAAGTCTTTCCCTTATTCTTGTCACCCAAACGTACTTAAGAAGAGGTGCACAATGCGCTTTGATATTCTGCTCATGAAACTTCGATTTAGTAAGAAGTACTAAGGACAGTAGTGAGTAAGTGTGCAAGTAAAGATATTGAAAATGCCAACCATTCTCCGATGGGAAGGGAATCATTTATGAATGAGAAAAAGCGAATGCACCCATCATGTGAAAATTGTGGGCATTGAGTATCTTTCAAGGTCGAGATGACAAACCTCGCAATTAGGCAATCTAGTCCCTACCCCGGTTCCATCACGCAGATCCATCGCGGCCACTAATTTCGCTCAAGCTTTTTTTGTCCTCCGGGCCAATCTTGCTCAAACAGTAGCTAGTATACCGGTACAAGTACCTACCTAGTACGGAGTAGGTTCGTCGAGGGGTCAAGGTAGTGAGTGAGTAAAAACTGGTAGCTCAGTTCTCAAATGCTGACTGTCAGAGACCTGTCATATCTTCCAGTTTTCATGTTTCCACTTTTGATACGAACTTCATGGGCATCTGAGGCATCCAAACGCTTTACGTGAGGTTGATCAAGATCACATGCTCCACGGAGAGAGAACCACGATGAGAACGCTCCAGAGTTCATGGACGTTGGAATATCTTTCGATACTTTGGGGAGGGGAATTGAAAGTCCGTCCTGGTGCAATGAGCAATCAGCAGTGTGCAGTATGCAGTATGCAGTATGCAATACAACACAAATAAATATTGAATGGCGTTATTGAGAAAGTGTCGGTGGTACGATTCATTGTAGAAGACGGTGTGATGATTGATGGGGTATACGGTATGTCTGGTAGAGTGGTAAAGTGGGAGGGGAAGAGGGCGGTTTGCCAAGCTTTGTGCCGATATATCCGCTTGATAGCGACAATGTCCCACCAGTCGAGCCGAAGAAAAGACGATGCTAATGCAAGCACGTGGCAAGGAGAGGACTTGACGTGTTGGTTCAAGTTGAAGACGAAGTTTGTATCGGTGTGGCTTTTTGTACCTAGCCTCCACGTGAGTCACGTCTCATCCTTTTCGATTGAAGTCAGAACTGATGTCGATATGCGTTAGGTGAATGTAAGACCTTCAATGCTTCATGGGGGAGACGGTGATGTTTCAAGCCCAGACCCGCAAATATCATATCATATCATATCTTGAACTGTCGCTTCAATTTTTATTTATGGAGAACATGGAGAAGTTTCAGGGGATTCTACTTCGTAGACTTTCGGGGCTTGAAAAGAAAATCTTCCCCGGTGAACTTTAATTCATCAATTCTTCAAAATTGTCTGGGCTTTGAGATTATCTAAGCTCATCCGCATTAACTACGGCTGGTCCGGTATGCGGCCGCTTCAATCACGTGTAATCATAGTGCACGCGATTTATTACTTCGTACAGTACTTTGTATTGCTATCAAGCGCAATTTGTTGTCGCGACTGAAGAAGTTAGCAAATGTCAAAATTTCGAGCAAAGTGCCAACAAAATCTTCTACAATCTATCGCTGGCAACAAACGCGCTGGGATCACTCACTCATAGTATCTAATTAATTTTCAATAAGTCTCAACCATTCATCTCCGAGCCATGGCGTCCGGTGGTTCCCATCCCAGAGTTTCAAAGAATTCGCAAAATACACAATTGAGGTAGCTTCAAATTAATCTCTAGAAAATATCATTTCTAACATCAATAGTTACGAACTGCCACATCGTATTCATACTACCAAGGTCTACCCGTCACCTTCGCCAAATGGATCAACGATAATTCTACAAGGAAATGAAGGTGGAGTGAGAATTATATGGAGAGGTGGCAGGCCTTTCAAATTACAACGAGAGATAAGCCCAAAGACTACACAAACCAATGGCGCAAACAAAGTCATCTCTCTCGACTCAGATGAGGATGAACCTTCCAAACCACCCTTTGAAGATAAACCAGAATTTGAAGACGAGGAAGAGGAGATTGATCCAAGGCGGCCATACCCCAGCATTCTGCAGACTCTAGATTTACAATTTGGAACCGATGTTCTTCACATCAGTCTCCTACCAAGCTCAACATTAAAAGCGGATGGTACACCCTGGCGTGGAATTGATCCATTGAAACAAAAAATTGTTTTCACTGCAGCTTGCGGTGATAATACTGTTCGGCTAATCACATTACCTCTCACACCGCCGTCTCCTCTGAGCAAGGACCGTGGTGAATTTCGACTTTCCCCCGCGATAGCAAATGTCGGAAATGGAAAATGGGGCGAGACGATGATTGTTTTGACTGGTCACCAAAAGACTTCGGATGGAATAACTATGACTATTGATTTCGAAGGAAGACGGGCTTCCACGAAGGACGATTCAAACACTGCATTAGAAACACAAATCATAGTAGCTTCGCATTCAAAAGAAATCACTGGATTATTACGACTATGGCGCATACCACTGCCAATACCTCCTTCATCAACCTCGGTGCAACCCTTCCAATCGGTTTATATGCCATCTCCAGCCGTCAGCATTTCATTTAATCCATCATTCTCAGAACAGCATTCAAGTCATTTGCTAGTCGCCGATAATCTAGGCACTTGTCGAATTTACAACTATAAGCTTCTCGTTAATCCTTCGGAAGATCCCGAGAGCGTGATTGCTGAGCAAGGGTCTTGGCTTATTTCTCTATATCCTGGGTTTAAGAACAACAAAACTGATTCCCAAGCATTGCATAAAATAACTTCTTACTCGGCTTTTGGTCGAAAATCAATCGTGGATGCAAAATGGGTATACGGCGGCAAAGCAGTTCTTGTACTACTCAGTGACGGAGAATGGGGTGTGTGGGATATGAATGGTGTAGGACCAGGAGCAAAAAGAGGTGTCCTTGGTCAACAATCAATAAAAGGAGGTTCACGATCAGAGTTCTCCCTTGCAGGTTATGTCGAAGGGGCAACCAAATCTAACTCGAAATCAACCGGCCCTCCACAAATCTCCCAATCAAAATTCGCTCCCATGACTCCTGGAACGCGTAAAACAACCGATCTATTCAGCAATAAGATTCAGCCCACTGGTCCAGTCCGCGGAAATATTTCAGTACTCGAGATACCATCCGTGGCATCTCATTTGGCATTTGAAGAATCTATTCTTTTCTGGTTAGGTGACTCCTACACCCTCATTCCCTCCCTCTCAAAATACTGGTCAGCCAATCCTCGCAAAGGTCAATCTTCAACAAATATTTTCAACACATCTCCTGGTTCCCGTCCCATCAAGTTGGAAAATGTGGACCTATTGGGCGAATGTTGTAGTGGTATTGAACAAGCTCCCAAGTCCTCAATCTCACCACATACCAGGTCCGAGATACCTTCCGATATTTTTATAATAGGTGAACACAGGTTTATCATTTTCATCGGAGGCAAATCTGTAGCGCCAAAACAAAAACAAAATGCATATGCATTACAATTAGTGCAACGAGAAGATGAAGATGAGGAAATGACGGATGATAAAATGATAGCGGTAGGAAGTGGTGAATTGGATGTTAATGATATCGATAGAGCATTAGCGAGGATGGAAAATAAGGAGAGATTGGGTCGAGGTTTGTTTGGTGAAAAGGGAAAATGGTAGTATATGGATGGAGAGGGGTGGATGGGAGAAGATATGAGAGATGATGGAGAGAAAGATAGATACCCCGTGATGTTTTATTGGGAATAAAGTCGTATTTCCAGTATCCCCTTTCCTTTCCTTTACTTTCCCTTTTTCCTTTCTGTCCCCTCCATCAATTTTCCATTGTATGATTCTCGTGCCTAGTGATGAAATATTCTGCACCTTGGCATGATATCACCCTCTTTACGCATTCCGTCCCACCTCATCAATTCCAAAGTGCCAAATTTTATACAATTCCTCCATCCACAACATCCCCAATCCCCCCTCCGCAAGGCAAGGTGGAGTACAAGGCGAGACCATTCCTTGAAACTCTGTAATCCATGCGGTATATCAAACCAACCCCTCGAAATCATAAGTCTCTTTGTCCTTTGGACACAAAAAAGAGAACAATCATTTACTGGTACCTACTTGACTAAAAGTGTGGAGGTAAGTGGTTGTAGGGCGGATCCTTCTACTTTTGCTTGTTCTGGTGCTGCTTGGTTGGTTTCTTGAGACTGGCTGCGCGCATGCATTTGCATACTTGTGTGTGTAAGTGGGCAAGCGGGTGATATGGGATCTGGACATTTTTTGCTGAGGGGTTTTTTTTGTGAGGTTGGGAGAGGAGGGGTACAGGGTGTTGTGGGAGGTGAGGGAGAGGATGGAGGGGCAGAGGGAGGCGGGATGATCAGGAGAGATGAGATGGATAAATAGAAGTCTTAAAGTTATTGTGAGACGTAGATGCCAGGGAGGAGACGGCAATGGGAAAGATAATCCTGGAAAAGTACTTCTTGCTCATCACCTCAACGTATGAAAAATATATCTTATCCTATCATTCTATCTTCATTTCCTTCCTTCCTTGTCTTTTCTTTTCTTGTCTTGTCTCTTTTTCTTCTTCTTCTCATCTTATTGATTTCATAACTAGGTACTTGGTAATATCTATGGAACCCTGAATAGAAAATTCATATTCTGCATTCAGTGAACGTAATTTTTTTAATTTTTTTAATTTTTTTCTTCTTCGTTTTAAGCATTTTGATCTTGAAAGTTTAAATCCTTTGATAAATCCTTCAATGTATATAGATTACTGTTTTGGATGAGGGGATGTAGATTCCTTCTTTTCTTTTCTTTTCTTTCTTAGTGGCTGGTGTCGGATGTCTAATCTCTCCAGGGCTCGTGTATGTGGGATGGAAAAAGTGGCTTGTCTTGGCTTGGAAGGAAAGGCTGTGAGGTTGGATTGGATATCTGTTTGGATGGGTGTGGGTGTTTGTATATGTGTGAGTGTATATGGATAGATGAGGGTGATTTTATATGGTTTGGTGTGGTTTGTTGTGATTTATTATGGTTTATGAGTTCTTATGGTGAAGTGGGGAAGTGGTGGAGTAGTTTGAAATTAGAACTGCATATCCTTTTGTGAAGCGGATTGTAATATTTGGGGATTAATAGTAGGTTGGCGATAGGATGGGAATGGGAATAGGAATGAGGATGGATTGGTGAGGGGATGGATTGATAAGAGAATGGATTAGTAGGCGATGGATTGAAATAGAGATTTGGGGTGTGGATGGGAATGAGATTGATGAGGGGATCAAATAGTGATGAGGATGAGAATCTTTTGGTGAGGAATGGATTAGTAGGGTGACAGGATAGGAATGGCAATTAATAGTGAGATGGTTATGGGATCAAATAGGATGAGTTAGTGGGGAATGGGCTGGTGAGAGAATGGATTGTTGATGAGATACGAATTGGTAAGGGGACGGAGGAGGTTCGAAAGGAAAAGGTTACAAAGTTTTGTATTTCTTTTTTCATGGTGGAAAGGAGAAGAATAGTGAGGGAGAAATAGTAAGGATAAGACTAGAAGAAACTAGGCGAGTGTCTCACAAATGCCATGTAGGAAAGATCGTGTGTCATTCGCTAGAGCGTGTGAACAAGTTCTGGATACTGTGAATGCTGTGATACTATGAATGTTATGAATCCTATGCGGAGCTAGTCACTAAATGCATTTGATATTCGAATGATTATGTTCGTTGGTATCGCTCAGTGGTGATTACAGCATCTTCAGAATATGTTTAATGCATGAATTGATATTGTGTCTCTCTGATTGAAATAATGAAGTGGTTAAGAGTTGGATGGGGATAGTAAAAGGATTGATGAGGAGATAGGAATAGAAATTGACGATATGGAGTTGTACTAGTTTTAAGTTTATTGAGACAAAGAATCGATGTAGGAAAGGGATTTTAAAGTTCCGGATTTCTGTTGTGAAAGGGAAGCTATTTAAAGGAGGTCAGTGGAAATTAGTTTGGGATGGTTAGATCTATAAGATGATATTTCATGAATGGTATATGAGAAAGCTTGTTATTTATCATATACCTATAAAAATTCTGAATATGGTGAATGCTGTGAGTTCTGTGGATGCTGTGGATGCTGTGAATGCTTTGGATGCTGTGAAATTGGTAGTATGTTTAAAATTC